AAAACGAATCAATTTTATTTTGTTTATTATTCTAAATTCAAACATTACAATATGATCTAGACAATTTTACTATATTTTTATAACTTTGCAAACAAATCACTTTTGATAATAGCTTATGTTGCCAAAATCAAGCCAAATTTGCTGACAACTATATATTGGGACAGCACAACAAGAAATTTGTTTAATACGGATTTAAATCACTTTTCGCCTTAACAACTGCCTGAACTCTTAATGGCATTGTATTTACCAAAGATTGGCACATTTGAGGAGAAAAATTATCCCAAATTTCCTGCAGTTTTGTCCGCAAATCAAAAATTGTTCGTTGTGGGTGGTTTCTTAAATATTGCTTCATTTTATGCCGCACAGTTTCTATAACATTTAGGTCCGGACTACTGAACTTTTATATTATTATTACCGAACCAATTTTGGCACAATGCTCCATCTTGTTGGAAAATATAGTCTTCGTTTGGAAACAATTCTTGAGCACTAGGCAAAAGTGAGGTCTCAAGTATATGTTGATATTTTTGGGCGTTAACCGTGCTATAAAATTTAATTTGCCCAGACCTCTTGCTGACATGCAACCCCGAACCATAATCCCCTTAGGAAATTTAACAACCCTCTTTAAGCAATCTTTATGAAAGGCTTCTGCTTTATTTCGTATTTTTCGTTTTCGATGATCTCCAACGCAAACATCAAATTTAGTCTCATCGCTAAATATGACCTTACTCCAATCATTTTGTGTCCACGATAATTTAGATTTTGCCCAATTGTAGCGATTTTTCTTTTGAATTTCTGTCAGTAGCGGTTTTTCTTTGGCCTAAATAAGAATTTGTATCAATAATCTTCAGGTAATTCATTATCCACACAAAATAAAGTTTACCTTGTAAAACCCCAGACCGCATTTATGGATATATTTTCGGCAACATTCTCTTGATATATTTAAACTAGTTACAGTATTCCATTTAATTGTTACTTCGCGAAGAGTGCTTTTTCTCGCAGACTTGCAATATTTTACTAAATTTCGTAAATCTCTCTGAGATACAACTTTTGGCCTTCGCGAACTTTTACCTCTAACGTCTACATTGACCGTGGTTTTAGGAATACATAAATCATCAGAAATATTTCGAATTGTTTTTCCCGTACTGTATTGACGAATTAAAATTTCGCGTAGTTTTTGATTTGTAGCTTTTCCACGGACCATTATTTTAAATTAAATTAACAAAATTGAAAATTAAAAAAATTAAAATTACTTACAGTAAACCTCACTACTCAACGTATCGAGTCACTTACAAGCTGTCAATGCTGAAGTAAACTGTTTGCAACATTTGTGACGTTTATAGCAAAGCCGCCTATGATGATATTAATTATTTGAAAATACTTGTCCCAACATTTAGCTGTCAGCAAATTTGTCCTTTTATGAACAAAATCCGCTACTGTAAATATGGATTGATTTACAAATTCATAAAAATATTGTCAAGTTGTTTAGGATATATGGCTATGTTTATATTCAAAAAATTAAACATATATTTTCAGTCATTTTGAAAAACCAGGGCAATAATTCCAAAATATGATCTTGTCCCAACATATAGTTTTTAGGGCTCGTACTAACTCAGGTAATTGTATGGTAAATCAAAGCTAAGTAACAAATTAATTAAAGTTGTTAAGTGTAGCATTTAATTTTGAAGTGGCTGTAATCCTAAAATAGCTAATCCTGTACTAAGAGCTAAATCATGATGTAGAATAGTCTGAAGAATGCCTAGGTACATAATAGAAACGCTGACAGAAGATATATTGGCTTGCGTGTATTTCTTAGTATCAAAGGATTTTGTCTTCTCTGTTATTAATAGAGAACCAACTATATATAAATTATATTGGAGAAACTAGAAAATCAATTAATTATAGCGTATGATCGAAAAAAAAAACGGCGTCCAGTTGACTGGGAAATGACGATCAATCTCATTCCTCATATAATATACTAATATATAAAATCATTAAATGACTGACTCACTGATTAATCGCGATCCTTCTCAAACCACTCAACGTAAGAAGCTCAATTTTGGCATACAGGTTGATTCTAGGGTGTAGAGGTGCGATAAGAAGGGATTTTTCGAAATTCCAGTTCCAAGGGGGTGAAAAAAACCCTCAAATATTACAATATTTTTTATTTAAAAAACGACCAAGTTTCCGAAAAAACACTTAAACACGTATATTTTATTTTGTTTGTTTACATATTTTAAGATTTTCTTAAAATGTATGCACGGGTGTTTCGAAAAATCTGGTCATTGATTAATCACGATCATGCTTAAAACGCTTGACGTAAAAAGGTGATTTTTGAAAAACGGATTGACTTTAGGGTGTAGAGGTTCGATAAGAAGGGATTTTTTGAAACTCGAATTCTAAGGGGGTGAAACCACCCCTCAAATATTAGAATATTTTTTATTTAAAAACCGGTGAGTTTTTTCGGAAAAACTCTTAAATACCTATATTTTATTTTGTTGTTTTACATATTTTAAGATTTTTTAAAAATTTATATAGGGTATTTCATAAAATATGACCATTGAGTAATCACGATTCTGCTTAAACTGCTTGACGTTTAAAGCTGATTTTTGGCAAACGGATTGACTGTGGGGTGTGGAGGTTCGATCGATTCTCAAATCTCAAATTCAAAGAGGGTGAAAACGCCCCTCAAATATTACAATATTTGTTATTTAAAAAACGGTTAGTCTTTCGGGAAAACGCTTGGATACGCATAATTTATTTTGTTTTTTACATATTTTGAAATTTTTTAAAAAATCATACAGGGTGTTCAAAAAAGTTGAGTAATTTATTAACCACGATTCTGCTTAAACTGCTTGACGCAAAAAGCTTATTTTTGGCAAACGGATTTTACGAAAGTAAAATTCCAACGAGAAGAAACTAACCCTCAAATATCACCAAGTTATATAATATAGCCATATTGTTTTTTCTCATGCTGACATAAATGTGAGAAAATTTTATCCAGTTTGTATGTTAATGGAAATTCTTGATTTGCTTTATCATCACCATTACAAATGATTAATTCGACGCGAACGAAGTCGCGGGTACACGCTAGTTTTACGTATAAAATGACAGCTATCTTCATTGACGTCGTTTTTATTCGATCATACGGTACTTTAGCTATTAAATTTAAAGAATATACTACTCAAGTAAAATATAGTAGAGCTCAATATAATACTGTATAGATATAGGTAACTGCTCAAAGAAAATTCGGCATTTTTCATTATGCTCTCGACTATATTAATGAATGCCCTTTTGCAAACCGGCATAAAAGACGATTACTATTCTCTTTCAATGGCATTATTCCCAAATAAATGTCGTTAAAATCGACTGGTCATCGTCAAACAGAAAGAAAATATTTCATAAATATTTTATAATCTCGAACGCAATATCTCTTTTTTTGAAAAATGATTAAAAATATATCCAGGCCATAGCTGGTTCGATCATACTTTTTTTAATAAGTCTGCTTTGTGGGTATTGAAGTTATTAAAATGTGATGTTTTTTTAAATTAATAATTGGAAATGAAAGATCCAAAACATCTGTTTGAATGTGGTAGAGAATACTGAATTATGAAATAAAATTTCTTTAAATACAGGGTGGCTCCTCTCAAACGCCGCGGAGGCTCCAAGGAGAACGACAGTTTGTATTGAAATGAAATTTTGTGAGCATATGTAGGTTAATTTAGAGCACTTTCTAAAAATATAGAGAGTACTACAGGGTGTCCCCAAAAAAAGTTACATATCAAAGTTGTGTTTTTTATAATGGAACACTCTATATATTAATTGATTTTCGGATTCTGGGAGAAAAATAAAAGTAAGTTTTATAAAAGAAGTATATGACTAACAATGACTACTGTAGTGACGAATTTTTTTTTTTTGGAAAAAATTCTTTCCCCATTAACCGACTCTCTATCTCCAGTAGTTTTCGAGATGCCCATAGACAACATCGTAGGAAACTCACCCTGTATAGTATTTTCAAACTAACTATTATTATTATTTGACTAGTTTAATTTGATTAATAAAGCTAGATTAATTTAATTTCAAATAAATTTGATCAGATTTTTTTTTGTATATTCTACTACCAGAAAACCAAGATTATATGATAACGCACTTTTCAACGAAGTTGAAGGAAGATATAGTGTATCTATCACAATACTTAATAGAACTACTACAATTATTACAAGAAAAACAAAAAGAAGAAATACCCAAATACCCCTTCACCTACTACTCAACTACAAAATAAACGAATATAATCTCTTAAAAACACTACACAACTACTTATTCTTGTATTCTACACTGAACAAATTATCAAACTTACTAATTTATCAAACAAAAAGAAAAAATAACAAAATTATCCCTTCACCTACTACTTAACTACAAAATAAACTATAAAAACACTACTAAACTATTTTTGGTAGACTACACTAACATGCTACACTAAACACTATAATTAAACTTAATAAATTAATCTAATTTTACACTACAGTTCGTCTGCTAAATCTGTCTCTATGAAAGGAATGCGGACAAAAAAACATTTAAATAAACAGCAATATATTTTATACATATATGTATATGATTTCATACGTCGACTTGACGAGTACGTCACCGCAAATCCCTCCACCCACTCATATTATTGGCTACTTGCAAATTTGTCGAATTTATATTGATGGGACACGTCGTCTAATTTTTTACGAAAAATTCAGAGTAACAAAAAATATTTTTCTGTAGGGAAACCGGTCCTGCCATCTAGTAGTCCTAGTCCATAAACGTCTCAGGTTGATCTACTTTAAAAATATATAAACAAGGCTATAACCCATCGGTAAACCATCATCTTGGGCATAAAACTTATCTTTAACTTGAAAGTAATGCAGACACTTCAAAAGCTGCACTATCATTGTCTAATACTTTCAAACATGTTCTGTTTTTTAATTTACTACTTTTAATTTTATTTCAATTCTGTTTAGGTATGTACTATGGGGCAAGCATATGCCTAGTGTCTTTTGCTTCAGGACTTTCAGTGGTAACACTGAATATCTACCATAGAGGTGTTCGAGGACAAGCAGTGCCAAACATAATCAGAACTGTAGTACTCAAGCGAATAGCACCGTTGGTTTTTATCAAGTTTGATAATAAACCCAAGGAAACTAAAATGCAAGTAAGTATTATTTGGGTAATGGTGTGGATCCGGTGGCTGACCTTGAAACGAGTTTTTGCTGCATATAGTCACAGACACTACGCGTGCGCACATCTTCGATGTTGCCAGATTGCAAATTATTTTGGAATTATTTTCAGTAGAAAACAAATATATGCTTTTCAGTGTTTTTTTGTCAATATATACCGTATGATCAAAAAAACGGCGTCCAGTTGACTGGGAAATGACGATTTCCCATATAAAATGACAGCGATCTTCATTTTATAGTCATCGCTGCCGCTATTTTTTTTCAATCATAGTACGCGGTATTATTTATATTATTATTTTAATATTTCGCACAACACGTGAACGCTTATTATGTATTTTCATAGTCAATAAAATTAAATAGAAATAAAACTCTAGATTCCTATAATTAATCTAATTGCTCTAGATTATTATGCTACGTTTAAAAAGGGCTTTATTAAAAATTCAGGATGTGTCCAAGTTTTTTCTTTTTTTTAATTTTTAAATGTTTTGCTTCATGTCATGTTCATAATAGTTTTTTTAACATTCCATCAAAACTACGGAGGCCTTAAAAGGCCTTTTAGCCTCCGTAATTAAAATTGTAGAATCAGCTTCAGCAACATTAACAGTTACCTTGTTTAATTCTGCTTATACATATATTGCATTAATTTTTCTGCTACCTTAAGATTTCTCTATTCTTACTTACTTAATTTATGTGATTTTCTTAGCATATATGATTTATAAACCATATTTTTCCTAATGGAAAGATGGAATAGGATATGCAAAATTAAGATATTTAACATTTATTTTCCAGACAAAACATAATATAGTATTAAGATTAAGACATAACAAATATTATAAGAAAGATCTTAATATAAATCACAAACTAACTGTCTTAATTTGGTCTTGTATAAACACAGGTATAAAACTAATAAGATAAAAACTCAACCTTCACCATATTGTCAAGATTTGGCATTATAGGAAACAAAAATTAACAATAGATAACAGTAAATTAAGAAAATAATATCAAACTACACGATATTAAATACTGTAATGTATTCTACGACACAAACCATCTCCCTTCTAAAGAGAAAAAGATAAAACATAAAGCTTATTTTAGTCTTATCACCACACTCTTCGATAAAATATATGTCTAAAATTGCTATTAATCCACTAACTTGATATTTTTAAGAAATTATGATACAAACATTATAATCAAAGTATATTATATTAGTAACATTATAGGTAAAATGTTACCTCTATCTCCCATTGACATGTATTGTTCTATAAGACTCGTCATGGTAGTACTTCAATAAAGTTCAATACATCAATACATATAATCAGAACTATTGTTGCCTGTAAATAACTAGGAACATGTCGTGGAACTACTTCCACGACATGTTGGTTTTTATACCCGAGACAAAGGACTTTTTTCCATAAATCCCAGTGAAATAAGCAAACCTAGACGTTTCTAAAATATCTGTTGTTACGATGATATTTCGTTAATTATATTTCGTTTTATGTTGATATATACAGGGTCGCTGTTATGTATGGATACGGTCCATTATTAGGTAAAATATAGGAGGTACCGCAAAAAGTTAAATACAAAAGTTATATAGAATTTTTAAATATCTATTAGCGAGTAATAAATTTAAGTATACAGGTTGGGTCATAAAGTCGCTGCACATAAAAGTTTTATTTTTTTACACCAACTGTTTCCGAGTTATTGACTTTTGAAAATATCACTTAAGCAATTTGATTTAATTAATTTCGATATGTTCAGTTTCATTTTTTCTGTGATACTTAATAATATTTGACATTAGTTCTCAAGTTAGCATTTATAGATGTATAAAATGAGATTATATCAAATCTGGAAATTACAAAATCTTTGCTTAACATTTCAATTCTTCAATTTATGTACAGGGTGGACCATTTTGGTTGTTTCTATAGAGTATCTAGGAAAGCGTGAGAAATGTTCAATTTTTGATACTGCAGTCTCGGGTTCTTTTTTTGAAAAAATCACGATGCCGCAATCGGATCGTGGCTAACTTGATCGGTTTCGAAGCTACAGGGGGATTCTCAAATTTTGTACTTTTTGAAGAAGTTCGATAGTTTGTTTATTTCAACAACTAGGCAAAAATGAATTAAACATTCTAAAGGCACTTTTCTGTGTAGAATGCAGTGGCGTAGTCAGACTTTTTTCGAAAAAAATATTTTTTTAGGTATTAACTATACTTATGTTTTTTTTAATACAACCCCCTGTATATTTTTAAATTTTCTGATTCACTTTGGCATGGGCTTCTCGAAAATATATATCACTATATATTTATTTCCACTATTAACTTTAAAATTCCAATTTATTTAAAGATATCGACTTTCCTCTTGGTAGGTCATGCCGAGTATTAAAGGAAACAAGCGAATATCTACTTTCAAATTAATCCATGTATAGGCAATTAAATAAATTCGAAAAATACGAAGCAAATAAAAAATAAGTGTGACAGAAACAAAAGAACATATTTTAATACAAACTCAACAGGTTACTTCAATCGGGCTTCTTCTCAGTTAATATAAAAATTAAAAAAACACAAAAACTACATTAAATGTTCAGACTGCTGCCCTAGACAGAGTCTAGGGCAGACAGAGTTGGTACAATCTAGACAGAGTTGGTATCGTCTCCGCACGCCGCAGCTAACAGCATTTCAATAGCTCTACTTGATGTTGTTGAATTTGGTGTTACGGCTCCGAGGACATTAATATATTGATTTTCTTCATCTTCTTTCTGATAATTTTTCGCACGCGGTTTTTGCAAAGATCCAAAATTGATTAAACTATTTTCTAACCTTTTAAAAATGGCTGGGTTTGGTTGCTCGTGCTCTGGATACCGCTCAAAATATAAATCAGATGCCATTTGTTAGACTCAATATAACATTCTAACATATTATATTTCTCAAAATTTTCAAATTTTTTATTATTTAAAATACACACACCAATCTGTTGAAATGAAATGTCCCCCATCCATCAAAGGTATGTTCCGATCACAATGACAACCGTTTACTTTGTTACTCGGCGCGGCCTACTATAATTTGAAATTTTGTGGTTAATAGTTAAAATAAATATAGAGTGATATATATTTTCGGGAAGCCCATGCCAAGCTGAAGAAGAAAATTTAAAAATATACAGGGGGTTCTATTTAAAAAAACAAAAGTATAGTTAATATCTCAAAAAATATTGAGAAATGTTTCACGAAATATTTCCGGGAATATTTCGGACATAGTTAGAGGGTGTTTAAAACTCGTATAGGATTTAAAGAAAAAGTCAGACTCCGTATAATTTCTACTTTATTTAGTTTAATAACAAATTTGCAGGAGATAAATCCCAGGACGGGCACCAGACTGGACTGCCAGTGGTCGTGGCCGGACAAGCTGACCCAGGAGGACGGCTGTTGTTTACAGCAACGCACAGAGAGGTCGCCTCGGTTCTCTTCCAAAGCCAAAAGTGATGATTTAGGTAAGCAGGTAAATACAGGTTGGGGATTCTATTTATTTGCTTTATTCCTGTAATTTTTCTACCCTATACCGGGTGTTTTTCAAAAATTGTTTAGCCCTACGACTTTTTATTTTTTCAGATAAAATAAACGGATTGGTGTGTTAGTATATGACATAAATTGGGATTGACTGACGTATTCAATTAGTTTCAATCAAATCTCGTTTTTTTATCTAAAAAATAAAAAAGTTTTAGGGGTGAGCCACTTGTGAAAAACACCCTATACAGGGTGAGTCTTAAATATGTGCAAATATTTTTAGGGGTAGTATATTTCAACCGCAGAAACAGGATTATGAAATTGTTTCGCGATTTTTTTTAATTAGGAATTTTTTGAAAACTTTTTTGGAAATATTTTTAGTTAAAAAACATAATTTTTTGATAATACGGCAATATCTACGGGAGTAGATTAAATTTACAGGAAAGAGAACCTAGAAGAGATCCAGAGGTTCTCAAAATTTAAGCAAAAAAATCATTGTTTCTTAATTTTTAAATTAAAATAACTCGGTTCTTTTGGACTTATTTGAAAAACTGTAAAGAGTAAATATGTTTCTTTTATCGAGATCTACCAGCCCTGAAAATATTTGCACTTACTTAAGACTCACCCTGTATAATAAAAGATTGTGATTATTATACAGGGTGATCAGAAATATAGATGTGTCTATTCCTGAAACTTCGGCAATATATTCTGCAGATAAAAATAAGTAAAAAAGTTGGTATTAATGTATGTCCTAAAATACTTAATTTCGGAGATAACAGGGTGTAGAAGTTTTTATTTTCGATTTTTTCAAATAATTTATGAAGTAACGTCAATATTTGGATGAAAATTTAAAATTTACTAAATTTATTATTTCAGTCATATAACTACTCAACGTGTTTGTTTTTTGTCAATAATGACATGTATTAACTATTTCTATTCTAAATATCTTGAGAACGGTTACTCGGAGCGATTTTTACCAAAAGACATTTTTTAAGAAAAAAGTCGTGGAAATGTATGTTTTTTTGTTTTTCACACAGTAGTTCTATACAGGTACGGACAAAAAGTTATTACTCTTCAAAACAGTTAAAACGCAAGTAGGTGGTGCCCCCTACAAATAGGAGATATATTGACATCAAAATCAAATTTCTCATGTCAACAAACTCCCAAACACCAATTTTCATCCAAATATTGACGTTACTTTACGGAAAAACCGAAATAAATGTGAAAATTCTACACCCTGTATCTCCGAAACTAAGCATTTTAGGACATACATTTATTCAAACTTTTTACTTATGTTTTATCTGCAGAATATGCTGCCGAAGTTTCCGGAATACAGTTAGGACCACCCTGTACATATACAAAATTGCCATATTTTTCTTTGTTGATAATACACAAGATACCTAAAAGAACTTTAATAATTATTTTGTTGCAGACATGTTCGAAAAACAAATAATGAAAGTGTTGCAACGAGTACAACAGAATATCGAAAAAACCGAGATCAGAATATCTGAGCAAGAACGAAAGGAACTGACAGAACTAGAATGGAAGCAAACATCTATAGTTTTGGACAGATTATTGCTGGCCCTATTCTTCTTCATCACGATCATCACGTCAACCACGATATTATGTAGAAGTCCTCAAGAAACCAGTTAAAATAACTAGAAATAAACAATTTCTCTCAGAATTAGTACTTAAATTAATGTTTAAACTGTTTAAACGTATTTTTACTGAGTTAACATAACTGTTTGCGATATGATACGCAATTTATTTTACGTGTATTAGTATAGGCAACCAGTAAAATTGGTTATGTGTATATTGAGTTGCCGGAATATTCAAAATTTACAGATAGATACAGAAATAATTTTAATATTTTCAAACAATTTAAACATTTAAACGTAGTGTTATCTGCCTCAAATATGTTTTTAACACAATTTAAAAATAAATTGTAAGTTTAACGTAAGAATAAATTAAAAAGTGATAAGTCATATCGCCAAATTATGTATAGGTTTATGTAAATAAGAATTTTTTCAGAGTTACTAAGTATAGTTAGAGAATTAAGGTAAAATTAAAAGGTTGTGTGTTTGAATTAACTATTAGCAATATTATAATTGGTCAATTCTTCTACTTAAGTAAATATATAATTATAAACAGTTCATACCAAATAAACTTTTAGTCTGGGGATTATGCTTGACCGACACAGCGTTGCCCACTTTTATATATTTTCTTTGAATCAAAATAATTTAGCAAACAAAAATAAATTAATTATAAATATATAAACAGTTTATATTTACATCAACAAAACTCACATTCTTAACAGCACTTAAGGCACAAGAAGGGCCATTACTACCGCTTTCCCGTTGAACATATTCTAATAAAGTTACTATGAGTTTTTTGAACGTCTATTAAGCTATCTTGTACACTGCGCACTAAAAGAGGTTCTAAAAAGAACAGTGCTCGACTAATGTATAACAACACTATTTATTTAAACCAAAAACTCGTAATACAAAACTAAAGTGTCAAAACGAATGACAATGTCAGGGAATAAACAAATAAATGCGGCAACTTGACATTTTTTTATAGCAGGGCTACCACCTGAACCCCTAGCGCGATATTTAAATTCCAGTTAGTCAGCACGGCACCGAATATGTCCATGGTTGGCAACAATGACTTTAAAAATCGCGCTCTCGATTACGTAACTAAAAGTTTAATTGATATCAACTATAGGTACTTTTAATGTACAGGTATAGTTTCCCATATAACACAACACAATCCTATAGATATCTTGAGGATATCCACCAAGGATATTAGTAAATATCTAAGTGATATCCAAAAACCAGAGGAGGATATTTATGGGACAAATAAATAAATAAATAAATAAATAAATAAATAAATAAATAAATAAATAAATAAATAAATGCATTTATTGTCAAAAAATTTTTCAATTTGTAGACAAAGGTAAACTAACAAACAAAGTAGATAAAAACAAGGTACACAAACAAACAAACAAAAGATAATACAAAACATTATATAAATAATATTGTCAGTCTTATTGTTAAAATAAACATTTATAAATGTTTACAATGTCAAAGAACAAAAAATTTAAAATAATATTCAAAAATATTTAACCAGTTAAAAAATATTAATGCAAAACAGGCAGAGCTCAATTTTTTCGACAAAGCTTCGATATGTATGTCCCATTTCAGAGAATTGTCCACAACAAGCCCTAAAAATTTTACAGATTTTACGACGTCAATGGTGGTGTTGTTAAGTATAAAAGGCTGCAACGAGTTTTTATACGACAAAGCTTTAGTTTTAGAAATGTTGAGACTCAGGAGGTTCGAATCGCACCAAGATTTAATGGTGATTAAGTCATTTGATATAATCCTATGAAGTGCCGTGATGTCCTTGTTGTTCCAAGTGAAGCTAGTGTCATCCGCAAAAAGACATATTTTGCCACTGATGTTTATGTTAGCAATGTCGTTAATAAAAAGAAGAAACAAAATAGGGCCTAGTACTGGGCCTTGTGGTACTCCACATTCTATTGGCTTGCTAGAAGACAACGTGGTATCCACCCTCACAAGTTGACTTCTGTCGCTCAGATACGACTTAAACGATTCGAGAGATGATCCCCTGAACCCACAGTGCTGCAGTTTATTAATTAAGATCTTATGATTTACACAATCGAACGCCTTAGAAAAATCACAGAAAATTGTTGCTGTAGAATGATGGTTGTTTAGGCTGGAGTAAACATTATTAAGCAGGGAAAACATAGCGTCATTTGTGGACTTGTTGCTTCGAAATCCAAATTGATATTCAGTAAGTATTTTGTACTTAAACAGAAAAGCCTTCCAAAAGATACCAGCCTTCTTTTAACCAACCTTTCTATGATCTTAGATAGCGTTGGAAGGAGTGCAATTGGGCGATAGTTAGAAGCTTCATCTTTGTCTCCGCCTTTATGCAGAGGAATGATTATTGCCGTCTTAAGACATTTTGGAAAAATACCATTTTGGAACGACATGTTTATTAAAGTTGTTAGGTGATTCAGAGTGCTTTCTGGCAGATTCGAAAACATTTTTAAAGTTAGCCCGTCGGTCCCAGAAGAGGATTTATTTTTGATGGTATTAATTGTACTCCGAAGCTCTTCAAGAACTACGGGCGAAAAAAAGAAACTGTGTAAGTTTACATTATCATTAGAGAGATAAGAAAGTGGATCATGAGGAGGACATATGGTATTAGTTAAGTTTTTCGCTACATTTACAAAGTAATCGTTAAGGTTCTCAGGCGAGGTAGAGATATTGCTAGACGAAGAAAAGCTTTGTTTCTCAACTCATTCACAATAGACCATGTTTCCTTAGCAACATTACCAGAATTGACTATTCTCCTATTATAATAAAGGTCCTTAGCGGCTCTTATAGTCTTATGATAAATTTTTCTGTATAGTTTTACGTAATTGTGGAAGAAGAGACTGTCTGCGAATTTTTTTAAGTGAGATAATGAACGCATGTTTTTAGAAGATATGCGTAGACCTTTAGTGGTCCAAGGTTTATTATGCTTATTTTTTATAGGCCTAAGAGGAAAGGATTTGAACGCTAGACTGGTTAATGTTTTTACGAAAATAGAAAATTCGGTGTCGACATCATAAGAGCTAGGATATCCAGATGGGACAAAAAGATGGGACGATTATTTAGGATATTTATAGGATAATACAAGGATGATGTTGGGAGCATTATAGAATATTTTAGGACATTATATGAGGATTGTTATTTGACAATACTTACTTCATCCTTAGTTTATAGTAAAAACGTTCGCGATTTAATTTTATTTAGCCACATTTTGACGTTATTCATTGGATATTTTTATTAACAGCTCTAAAATATACCTACATATTGTGTCAATGAATTTTGCGTCAAAATTTAGAAGTTTATTTGTATGAGTTAAGAGCTTTCAATTTATACTGTACCATCGAAAAAAAACGGAGTCCAATTGGCTTGAAAATTACGATCGATGACATTCCCCATATAATTTTACGTACAAAATAACAGCAATCTTCATTTCCAAGCCACCCCTGACGCCGTTTTTTTCGATCGTATGGTATTATATCTTTGTAAGGGGTATTATATCTTTGTATCGGGTGCAAGGGGTATTGAAGCGATACATATAGCCTAGCTTACCCAAAAGTCAACCTCACCTTCACGTGGTGCACCCTGTTTACACAAACGAGGCTCTGACGTCCGAGTATAGGCGGTATAACCTTATACAACCCTCAGACCTACCATCTTCTGGGGAAAAGGAGTAATAAACTACACCTAGCTAGCCGAGAACGTAGCACAAGGGAACTATCGTCGCGGTCCTCAGTGTGCCATAGCCATCCCGTGCTACAGTTGCAGCCAAAACTGTGCGGCAGCGTAACCGCCACAGTTAAACCTTTTCACGCAGCTTACACACAGCAATGATGTAACATTCGAGTGGGACAAAATTATCGTCCGGAGGTAAAATACCCCCTCAATCGGATCTCCGGGAGGGGGTGCCTACTCGAGCGTATCATCGGAGAAACAAAAAACATGAATGTTTCACGTTTGCGGCGTGGAACGTCCGCACTCTACTGGACAAGATAAATTCAAATCGACCAGAGAGAAGAACAGCACTGGTCTCACAGGAACTCCACCGATTAAATATAGATGTTGCCGCTCTAAGCGAAACCCGCTTTGCGGATGAAGATAGTCTCACTGAGGACCATTACACCTTCTTTTGGAAAGGTCACCCCGCAACACACAGAAGAATTCATTGCGTAGGCATTGCGATCAAAAACGAAATCGCCACCAAGTTAACAGAAGTACCTATTGGTGTCTACGAACGTCTTATGACCCTAAGGTACCCCATATCAGACAAAACTTACGTCAACATCATTAGTGTCTACGCTCCCACCCTTGACTGTAAAATTGAGGATAAGGATAAATTTTACCAAGCTTTACAAAACGCACTCTAACGAATTCCAAAGCACGAACGGATCATCTTGCTAGGTGACTTTAATGCCCGTGTTGGCAAACAACAGGAAATATGGCCTGACGTATTGGGAAAACATAGAATAGGAAACCTAAATAGCAATGGTGAACGCTTATTAACAACATGCGCAGAGTATAATCTTTGCATAACCAATACGTGGTTCATGTTGAAGGACAAGTTCAAAGGTACCTGGAAACATCCTAGATCAGGCCACTGGCATCAAGTAGACCACATAATCGTTCGAAGGACGCATCTAAAAGATGTTATGCTCACAAAAGCCAGAATAGATGCCGAATGCGGCACTGACCACCGACTTTTAATTTTAAAAATGAAAATCCAGTTAAAACCCAAACATCCACACTGTAAAATGCAAAACAACATGACCAGATTGAACATGCGGGGTCTAGAGAACAACAATACGCCCTCCGGGAAGCCATCAAAGAATCACTTCCACCGACAACTTCAATCTCAATCTTGGAAGCTGAACAAGGCTGGACACAATTAAGGGGTACGATTCATAAAACCAGCGAAGCAGTACTGGAAAAGTCGAACAAAAAGAAACAACCAGACTGGTTTAACAAAAATCAACCGCATATACAGGTTTTGTTGGAACAAAAGCATAGAGCACATCAAGCAGTCACTGCAAATCCACATAATCCGAGACTGGTAGACTTTGGTTTTACTTGCGCCAAGTAAAGGATAACTGGTGGTCAGAAAAAGTGAATCAGATTCAAGAGTACGCCACGCATCACGATTATCGTAAATTCTTTGAGGCTGTAAAAGAAGTATACGGTCCAACCAAGAAGGTAAGCTGCCCAATCATGGCACAAAATGACGAACTTCTAAAAGAGGAAGAACAAACCCGAAATCGCTGGAAAGAACATTACAGCCATATCCTTAACCAAGAAAACAACCCCAATATGGAAGCATTAAACACAATATCTCAGTATAACAGCCTCGATGTATTAGACATCCCAATAACAGAACAGGAAATAAAGATCTCCATAAAACAGCTTAAAAACAGCTGGCTGTGACGCGATTCCGGCGGAAATCTATAAGTGTGCAAGTAAAGAAATTATGGATCATCTTAAGGCTCTCTTTGATGTCGTATGGGAAAGCGGAGAGGTACCTCACGATTTTCGCAACGCGAATATAGTGAATATATTAAGAACAAAGGAAGTGCATCAGACTGCGGAAATTACCGGGGAATTTCGCTATTG